ATGCCACGTAGAATTAAGGCAGTTCTGAAGGCGAAAGGGGGTCAAACACCGTATTAGTATGGTGTTCCTAATAATCCTTTAGGTGAGTGTATACACTGCTCAAAAAAATTAAAGGAATGCTTTGAAAACACATCAGATCTCAACGGGGAAAAAAATTATGCTGGATACCAACACCAATATGGACTCTGTAATGTGTTAGAAATGAAAGGATGCCACATCGTTTGATGGAAATAAAAATTATCAACCTACAGAGGGCTGAATTCAAAGACACCCCGAAAATCAAAGTGAAAAAATAACGCAGCAGGCTAGTCCATTTTGCTGAAATTTCATTACAGCAACTCAAAATCATACTCAGTAGTTTGTATGGCCCCTACGTGCTTGTATGCATGCCTGACAACATCGGGGCATCCTCCTAATGAGACAACGGATGGTGTCCTGGGGGATCACCTTCGAGATCTGGACCAGGGCATCACTGAGCTCCTGGACAGTCTGAGGTGCAACCTGGTGGCTTCGGAAAGACTGAAACATAATGTCCCAGAGGTGTTCTATTGGATTTATGTCAGGCGAGTGTGGGGACCAGTCAATGGTATCAGTTCCTTCATCCTCCAGGAACTGCCTGCATAGTCTCGCCACATGAGGCCAGGCATTGTCGTGCAAAAGGAGAACCCACTGCACCAGCGTAGGGTCTGACCATGGGTCCAAAGATTTCATCCCGATACCTAAGGACAGTCAAGGTGCCGTTGTCTAGCCTGTAGAGGTCTGTGTGTCCCTCCATGGATATGCCTCCCCAGACCATCACTGACCCACCACCAAACCATTCATACTGAACAATGTTACAGGCAGCATAAAGTTCTGCACCGCTTCTCCAGACCCTTTCAAGTCTGTCACATGTGCTCAGGGTGAACCTGCTCTCATCTGTGAAAAGTACAGTGTGCCACTGGCAGACCTGCCAATTCTGGTATTCTGTGGCAAATGCCAATCGAGCTCCACAGTGCCAGGCAGTGAGCACAGGGCCCACCAGAGGATGTCGGGCCCTCAGGCCACCCTCATGAAGTCTGTTTCTGATTGTTTGGTCATAGACAGTCACACCACTGACCTGCTGGAAGTCATTTTGTAGGGCTCTGTCAGTGCTCATCCTGTTCCTCACACAAAAGAGCAGATACTGGCCCTGCTGATGGGTCCAGCTCTCCTAGAGTAACTGCCTGTCTCCTGGAGTCTCCTCCAAACCCTTGAGACTGTGTTGGGAGACACAGTAAACCTTCTGGCAATGGCACGTATTGATGCGCCATCCTGGAGCAGTTGGACAACTTGTACAACCTCTGTAGGGTCCAGGTATCGCCTCATGCTATCAGTAGTGACACTGACCATAGCCAAATGCAAAATTAGTGAAAAAGAAAAAGAAAGATGAGGAGGGAAAAATGTCAGTGGCCTCCACCTGTTAAATCATTCCTTTTTGGGGGGTCGTCTCATTGTTGCCCCTCAAGTGCACCTGTTGTTAATTAAATTAACACCAAAGCAGCTGAAACGGATTAACAACCCCCTCTGCTACTTAACTGACTAGATCCATATCCCAGAAGTTTAATTGACTTCATACTATACTCTGATTAAAAAGTGTTCCTTTAATTTTTGAGCAGTGTATATGAAGGCTTCATTTTAAGTATTCTGATATAAATAACATTCAATAAATAAATGTGTACATGAACCATACTTTTTGAGAATAACGTGATTTTTGTGTTATTGCAATGGTCATACACATGCATACACACACACACACACACACACGTGAACCTACATGGCTTTGATGACCTTTTCAAAACTTCCAAGTGGCTGATTAGTGCCTGGCATTTAATTAAAAGTCATGGGGCTCAAATAACCACAAGCAAGGTCAGCAACATCAAGTATTATCGCCCATCTTTCTTCCCATTGACTGGACAAATGCAGTCAATATAAGAATACTGGATAACTCTTTACTTAAAGCTGTCATCTATAATGCAGTATAATGCTTAGTATAAAAAATAATGAAGCATTACAACATCTTCCTTTGATAGTCATAAGGCATTATAGTGTTGATTATAATACTTCATAAGCTCAAATGAAGCTCTCATCTGTAATGCAACACAGATACCTTCATAATGCATTATAATGGTCAGTATAATAATTAAGGATGTTTTGTACTTCATTATGAAGGTATCTATAGTGCATTATAAAGGAGAGTTTCATAAGGCAGTCATAATGCATAATAATTTGATATTCCTTTTAAATATATTTATAGCCATATTTATAATGCTTTATGAATGCACTATAATGTGTCATGAATGTGTTCATAGATTCTTATAGACACGGCATTCATAGAAAGTGTTACCGAATATTGATCGGTACAACTAAACAGCAGGGAGTGCAGCTGGAGTTAGTGTATAGATTAATAAATCCTATTTTGTTTAATGAGTACTTTGTGACTACAGATCTGACGGCAAGGTGCTGTGATGTATGAGACTTGTTTTTTTTTTTGGAAAATTTATTCTTAGTTCACGGTGTATGTAAAACAGTTGGAGGACATTGTCTGGACAAATACAAAATTGCCTTAAAATTAATTTCAGTGGGCAGTAGACAAAGATTCTTTATGCAGATTTCAGATCAGATTATAATGTAGTCAATAACCAGAATAAAAACCTGTTATGATCTGTGTGTTTGTGGCTGCACTTCTTTTCTTTTAGGTTCCACACTCCAGGGATCACATTTTCAGGGTTGGTGGTTTGAATCCCATCAACTGTGCGTGGGGAGCATTCATTTGTTACGTGGATTGTCTCTGGGTACTCCAGTTTTTCTCTCAGGGTTCAATAGACGTACAGTGTGTTAAACCAACAGTGTATGACAGTATATGACTCATGGGTAGATCTTGATGTTTGCACTTTGGGAGACAAAAAGCCTGCATCTTGCTTACCTTATGTGTTAACGCACATTCGCACATCCTATCATTTTGTCTAACTGTAGGGCACCTAAAACTTATGCAAAGGTACAAATTTACAGCATAGAACATTACCCAATGCTGGTCTTGGCAATTAATTGCAATTTCGACTCAGGCAACTCAGGGGGCCCTTCCGCAACCCCCCCGGCTCTCCGCCCATGGTCTGACTGTGTGTGTTTGTGTGTGTTGTAATGTACTGGTATACTATTTAACATATGTTGCCTGGAATAAACTCCTGCCATCTCCCCTCCACAGCCTTGAATTGTTTTTGATGTATAATTGTAATTTTATGGAGATGCAAGGCTTCAAGTCCCACGGATTCTTTGGTTTTCTCCCAAAATCGCATGTTTGTGCATCCCGTCCAGGCTGTATCCCAGCCAGGTCATTCCCTCTGCTGCCTGCGATGGGCTCTGTTTCATCCAAGCAAGCAGACAGTGGGAGGGTGAGGACAGCAGTTTCCCCTGTTACTACACCCCTGAATAAGACATGAAAAATCAGAAAATATAAAAGAAATATGAGCAAAATATATATAAAGGAAACATATTGTTCTGCATTGTGATTCATTGTTAAAGATGGCCAGAGATTTGCAGCTAAACATTACCCTTTTCTCTATAACTGACAGCAGATGTACCATTGGAAGAAAACCTTGGAATAAGGAGGGTCAGAGTGACAGATGAGTTCACACACAAGCGCAGCTGCTCCAACTTCAGATCTAAATGAAAAACACAAAACCTGCAATTCTACTAGCACAATTCGTCCTCGTACTTCCGTCATGCTGCTTAATGGCAGAAACAGTGTTAATTTTGCTTTAAAGAGCCACATTTTATGCCCTGTACATTACCACTCAGAAGTGTGTTCGATACCAATTTGCAGTAAAGCACTTACAACAATTACATACTGGAATAAAGGTGTTTTTATGTATTTCAGTAAAAATTAAAGCAAATATAATCACAGTGGTGAATATATCTTGCATTTCTGCAGCTGTTCTGTGTGACCGAGGCTTTGGGGTGGTGGAGATAATGAAAAGCTGTGCTTGTAGTTTCCTGTCAGATGGTTACAGGCCATACATGTTCTACCTGATCAG